AAAGGGTATATGTGGTTTATGAAAGCCCACAGCCAAAAATAAAGGCCTATGCAATGTTTCAGTGATGTTGTTGATAAAAGATTTGACATAGTTTGCTGTCTGGATATCAGGTAGCGTCCCCTCTGGTTGAGTGGAGACATCTACAGGACAAATGAGATTCATGCCCTTTGTGCCATTTGGACCAGGACATACCTAAAGTATATCAAAATAAGTGTAAAATACAGTGCATGGAAGTACTTTATTATTAGAAAAAGTCCACTTGCAGAAAGTAAACTCTGTCCCTTGGAGCAGAAGACAAAAGTTAGTTCTCCTCAAAGTTCTTTGTCTCTGGCTACAACTGCTCTTAATTAATCATATATTTTATTTATTTATTTATTTATTTATTTATTTATTTATTTATTTATTTATTTATTGTCAAATCAGTTACACAAAAGTGTTGTAAAACCAAATCTTAGACAAAATAATGTATGTGGTACAGTGACTATACAGGATAAACTCTCCCATACCTTCTCCATCTTATATTTAATTGTTGATGGGTGGTAGGGAGGGAGGGTCCAACTGTAGGGGTAATCATCATCCCCACCTGATGATGAACCTGTAAACAAAACAATAAACATGACAATTTTTGACGAAAAAAGCATTTATTAACAAAACAAACAGTCATTTGTTCTTACATGTATGTGTTAATTTACAAATTTCCTTTTTTGGGATCTTCCCGCCAGATTGCAATTTTCTCAAAATAAAAACAAAAAAGGTATTTGTTTTAGAACATTTTAATTAAATAACATTAAAAAGGGTACAATTTTTTACTGCAAAAAAGCAACAATTAATATACATGTAGGTGAAAATCTCCATTTTAATTATAATTTTTTACTTCGGTTCAATATGTAATACTATTATTCCCATGTTTTACATTTACAATTATTTTATTTTAACAGTTAGAAAACTAGAAACTTCATCAAATAAAAAGTCAAAAAAAAAAACAAAAAAAAATCATACCAGGATGAAAAACTTTTCCTGCAGACACAGATATATAACCATTGTTCTTGAAATGTTGTGGAAGAGTGACAAAGTTTCCAGATGTTTTGCGCCAGTATGAGTGAGAGTCGTACACCCTGATCGTATCTGGTCTGCGACTTGTCAGGAAGGAATTTCTGCTTGGTCCACAAAGGGCTTGCTGAAAATGACAAAAATAAATCAAGCCGTGAGATTTTTTCAATAATTGACTGGAAATAATATATTTATGTTACTCTTATCACTTATTCTTTTGTGTATTATATTACTTAAAATGCTGCAAAATTATCACCTGAAGATCAAATGTCTTTTTCAAAACAGACAAAGGCTTGTTTCTCACTAGGGCAATTCCAATGGCTTTATATCTAGCTGTAAAATATTTTTCATAAAATATTTGTTGAAAAATACTAGCATAACACACAAGTACATAATAAACAATTTTTCAGCATGACATACACACACTAACATATGTAGCTGCACGTACTGTACATCAACATTACCTGCACAAATGCATTGTTGAACTTAAATGACTGTCTTGCCAAGTTGTCAATGTTTGGTGTGTGGACCTCCTTGTTTCCATAGCAACCCAATGCAGGCCGTAGGTCATCCAAGACCAAGAAGAGGACATTTGGTCCAGTTGACCTCACTGGTTGCATAGAGTCAGCAATGCCATTTAACCAGATATCTAAATGTAAATTTAGATTTTAGTCATTTAAATGATTATCAAAAAATAAATTATAAATGAAATAAAATAAACACACAAATAATGATGTTAATAAAGGAGGAATACTATTACTTGTATATTTTTCTTCAATATACAGCTTAACATATCTGTATACAAATTTCAAGTGTCAAGCTACCAAATTCTACCCATAAAGAAAACTGTGTCCTAGCAAAAAGACTTTGTGTCCCTCAAAAAAGACTTCATCCACCACCTAGTTTAAAACAGTCTGCAAATTATAGTGATTTTTATTTCAAAATTTAAATTTGAATTTACTCACAAAATGTAAACATTGAGCAGCAAATGGTGCGGATTCGTATTTTACCATCCTCCATGTCAAGTGACAGTTAGGAAATATGTTCTGGGTGAATGTCTCATCTTCATTTCTTATATAACAATTCAAAGTCCTTTTAGATGTAGGGTAAGAAAGTACTGATAAAATAACCACGGTCATTGCAAGCAGTCATTTCATGCTTGTTCAGATGAAACTAGGTCGACATCAAGGTCAAGGTCTCCAAACGTTGCCCAGGGGATGTAAATAGAAAAACATTTTTCATTGGTTAGTCTACATTACTTATCCAATCAGCAGGGTCGATACAAAATATACTTGACATCACCTCAGCCATTTTGGAAATTGGAAGCTGTTTATTTCTTCACAAGGTGGGTGAAATTCAGAAGTTTAAAAAATATTAATAATGTGTTAAGAGTTCTGATTATCCCATTTTACCTGATTCATCACGTTTAAATATTGAACCGTCGTTCTAACTTGAGAGGTTGTACTTCAGTAGCATGAATGGCCTGGTCTAGTAAGTTCCACTATAATCTTATCAAATGAATAATAAATCTTTAATTATGTCTTTCAATTTTCACTTTTAACTCCGAAGCAATCTTGCAGTGGCATCATTTAAAAGTTGAAAGTAGTAGAATTAAAATATCAATTTATATTCAGGTTAGCTAGGTCGCAAGACAGGCAGTCAATAAAGTGTTTTTCCAGGACGAAACGTGGGGTGTTTTTCTGTCAAGATATGCCTCCATTTACTGCGTATCGTCACTAATAGAATATCAAAATTTAGATATAAGCATTTATTAACCACATTTTAGATACTCTTTCACTTTGATCCTGTGTGTGGAAAAGGGAATAGTGTCAGAAAAGCAGACAACTTTTTGATTTTGAAAAGATGATTTTTAATTCATGCAAAATTGCAGTTGATACTGTTACCAGTATCAGCATAATGCTTATGATTTTTTTAATCACACACACGCAGGCATGCACGCACGCACACACACACCATTTGACACATAATATTGATTTTGTTTTAATTCACATCTCAACTTTCTATTCCAGGTAAGGAAAATTTGTAACAATGGCAGGCATAGAAAAAATGATGGAGAACCACTTGCTACAGGCTACCCAGGCCATTGAAGACCAATTAGATAATGAAATCAACAAGCTTGACCGTATGGATCAAGATGAGATGGAACAGCTGAGAGAAAAACGTCTTCAAGCTTTGAAAAAACAAGCAGCACAAAAAGAAGAGTGGATAGCTCAGGGTCATGGGAAATACTTCGAAGTCCCAGATGAAAAGGCCTTCTTCGATGAATGCAAAAAGAGCAAGAATGTGGTTTGTCACTTCTACAGGGACAGTACTTTCAGATGCAAAATTGTAGACAAACATTTAGAGATCCTGGCAGCTAAGCATATAGAGACAAAATTCATCAAAATTGATGCTGAAAAATGTAAATTTCTAGTTGAACGTCTTCGTATTGTAGTCATTCCAACCATCTGTCTAGCAAAAGATGGAAAGACTGTTGATTATGTTGTTGGTTTTGACGATCTTGGTGGAACTGATGAGTTTTCCACAGAGGTGTTAGAGTGGCGCATCGCCAGGGCAGACGTCATTAATTATAGTGGTGACTTGCTCCACCCACCTGGCTCTGAGGACAGAAAGAAAGGACGAAGTGTACTTGGCATGGATAGAAAGAAGAATTTAAGAGGAAGAAATGATGATGATGATATGAGTGATGATGATGATGATTGGTAGACCGAACTCTGATATTGACATTAGATAAAATACCCACTGTTGAGGTAGATAGCCTTCAAAGACTCAATGGCTGAAAGTGATTTCGGGTGAAGAAAACAAATAATTATAGATCTGGAAAGTTAATTAAGCTTGGCTACCAAAAATTGAGTTAGAGTGAACATAAGTCTGCTGCTTTTTTTTTTTTTTTTTTTTTTTAGGATGAATTGTGTTTAGTCAATGATGAGACAGTTGGATTCCAGTCACTTATCTTTTAAACCTCTGTTTATTCAATCTGGTTGCCTTCCAAGAACTGATAATGATGTGTTCTCTCATTATCTTTGTGATAAAGAGGGTTATGATGTTCAACATGACTGGAGGTCAAATAGAATTTTCTTGGTTTGTACATGCGAATAGAATTTGAAGCACATCGTCTCAAGGATGTGAATGTTCAGGGGATAATATGAATGTGGGAATTTTATTCTAACTTTATCTGTTATTTATTTATTTATTTGTTGATAGCTTAAATGTCATTAAGAATTTTTTTTGCTGGGTTGAAAGGTATTAAGATTTAAAAAAACTCACGTAATCATGTCACTGTTTAATTTATTGTTCTCTTGATGTCTTTGACAATTTAGAGCATATACAATATATTGGATATACTACAATGCTGTGAAGACATGATTACCAGTATGATCCAGTGTATGGTTTTCATATATAACTTATCTCTGTATAAAAATGTAGCAATGTTTTACACAGATATGCTGTCCTTTTGTAAACACTGCACCAATACTTAACTGTATATACCCCTTCCCAAGTGCCACACAAGTTGGCTGAAGTCTTGAATACATTAAGTCAAAACCCATAATGTGTATAACTGCTCATGACTGTTTTATTGGTACTTTATAATATATGTATGTATGTATTATATATTTTATCATATTATCTTGACTAAAAGAATATTTGTTTTGACAATTTTTTATGCTTTTATTAAAGCATATTGTAGGTTTTCAATGTAGTTAAAAGAAGTACTGGTTTGAAGGATTTTATTAGTTTTTTTCAAAACTGTAATGAGATAAAAGCTTTTCAATTGAGGTATGCAAACAATTTGTTACTTTTCTCTGTTTTTTCCCCTTTGTACTATGTGTGCTTATTAAACAGAATGCATTGAAATAATTATGCATTTGTTTTCTACCTGAAATATCTATTTTCCACCTGTAGCAAACCACTTTTCTACCTTCTCAACCCATTTCACTTAAAATCTAACCATAACCTTTTAAAACTTTTTTCAATGAAAGAACCATCCATTTTGTTTTTAGAAAAAAAATACTTTTAAGTAGAATATTTTATACAATAATTATTTTATTGTCAGTAGTCTCAATAAAGTTTTGATGTACAATCTCCAATGGCTTATGACAGAGAGTCATGAATTTTGTACAGTCACCATGTCTTTGGAGAACAAGATACCTTACAGAGAACTGAGGCAATAAACTAAAGTTGGCATGTGTAATAGTGTCCCCCTGAATCCAGAGAAATAAATGGTGCAGCCTGTTTTAGAAAAAAAAAAAAAAGAAAAGCTAGATGTGTCTGTGTGCAATCTTCCAAAAAAGCTATCACATAATTTTACAAAAAAATTCTGCATTTATGTCTGATGATGTACATGGTTTGCAGGTGCTGTTTAAAATAGCCAAATTCAGGAGCATAAGACCAGATGGGCTGGGCTTTTAAATCAGTAATCCCACCCTTTTGAATGTTATATAAATTCAAATTCAGTAGTTTGACTAGTTGTGTTAGAATATAAACCTACCATAAATGTAATATTGGTAAGTTGGGTAGAGCAGCTGGTCCATTTATAAAGCTCAGTCTTCACTTAGTGGCTATTTCAATCCTCTCTATCTCACTTTTGCCCTCCCCCCCCCCCCAAAAAAAAAAAAAAAAAAAATGAAAAAAAATAATAATAAAATGAAACATAAATATTGAATCAGTTTGATACTGGTGAAAACAGAAGAAGTTAATAGCATCACATCATTTGGCCTAAAATAAGAGGATGAGTTATCGAAACCAGTGTTTTCCATTATCTATTTTTGCTTGCATTCTGGAATATCTGTTTAACAGATGTGCTGGAGGACAGATACCAGTGTATTAGAAGCATCATTATTGACCGGGTTATTCATTTTGCACATTATTTTCAATTATTTCATATTTAAGTATAAGTGTAAGTAGTGAAACTTTATTATTTATTTATTACTTTCTATTTATTTATATATGTGGTTTGTGCGTGTATCTTGCAGCTGAAAACACTTTTTAAATACCGCACGTGCTGGAGCAGTGGATGCTGGGTAATTTGAAGTCCCGCGAACCCTCGACGCATGCGTTTTCAGCGTTTATCTACACAAGATGGCGGGAAGTGCTAGAAGTGCGTGGCAAGATATCTCTCGTTTTATGTAGTTCTCCTCTATATACAACATTTTTAGCCAACTTTTATGTAGCCCAGAAACGTAAGGTAGGTTGTATTATTTTGCATTTTTGCTTTCAGGGGCGCAAAAATGTGTTAATAGGGGCGAGACGGGGTGCATTTTGTGACCTCATTTTCCCAAATTCCGATGTGGATGTCATGGTCACTGAAATCAGCAACTGCACAACCTGTTGCTGAAATTAACAACGAGAATCAGCAGCCTTGTTAATTGCACGGGGTGCAAGTTAACATCGTGAATTAACGTTTCTTGATGTTTTTGCTCTAAAAATTGTAAATTTGGTAAGAATAATTGGTTTCAAAACTGGATTTCGAGGTTTTTACTAGTGTTGCCTCGTGGATTGCATCGCCGAGGACACTTTTTTTTCTTTTTTTTGTGCGTAACATTTGCTGATTACTTAATTATGTCAATCGTGTTATTTTCTTATAACTGGGGGTATTTCATGTATATCATATTATGGTGTTTGTAAGAAAAAATTTAATCTAACCTTATTTTCTTGGACTTGTGCCTTGTGTACACTGTGGTTTATGCATCTTTTGACACGCTGCTAACACCCCTTTAACTACAGTGTTATATACTACCCAGTTTAAAATAATGAGTGAAATTGCCATTTTAACATTTGTCTATGGTCAAAAAGTGATTTTGTTTCCAATGAACAAAATAAACATCAGTTCAAAATAAAAATAGCTGCCACTTTTAAAGAAGGATGTGGCTGTGTGGGGGATTCCCGGATTTCAGGGATTTTTTTTCTGACTAAATCATATCTCTGTTATGACAACAAGCCTATAAATAAAACTCTGCAATGACTGGATATTTACCAGACTAAGTTATAATTGAAAGGCTTTATTCCTCTTACTGGATTTTAGACAAACCAGCAAGCCTTCACCATTGTAACCTACTTTCAACTAGTGAAGTTTTCATTTTAGCTTCCTGGTCTGAGAAGTTTAATATAAGTCACAGTACAATATACAAAGATATATTTGTTCAGCTTCTGTTATCGAACAGAATTTTATCTGGTTCATGCTACATTAATCAATATCAAAATAACCTATTGACCTGGATTGACTGATTCTTAGTTCAAGAATGGGGCGTTGCTTGTGTACATAGTGGTAGCAGCAATGGAAACCGATCTATTAAAATTGTTCGTATTGCTCATGTAAATCTAGAAATGTCTTAAGGGGGAAAATATTTTGTCATTGTACAAGTTGGCTGTAAAGGTTACAAAATAATTGGCTCGTTGATGTTTATAAAAAGAATAATTCACATGTTCTGTTTGCATCTTTGACAAAAAAAATCATTTTGTACATTGATTTGTTGTAAACTTTAGACTGAGGCGTTCCAACAAATAAAAATATTAGAACCACATGCAATTTGTCTTGGTCAGTAATAATTGCTGTATATGTAGATGAAATAATATTTCTCGATTATAGTCTTTTGTAACAGGGGAAAAAAATTGAGTTTTGAAGGTTCTTCTTATATTATTTATATATAAATCTATATACAAAACCTGTGGAATCAAGATACCAGACCTTAACCTTGTAAGCGTAAAGTAGAACTTACACATTTTGAATAATTGCAAAATATGTGACCTGCCAGTGCAGTATACAAATAGGAGGGAATTTGTCATAGAATTTGCTTTTGAGTAAATGATGTCACGTGATATCCATAGTATTATTATTGTAAACTTACATGAAATATATTCAGGTGCAAATATTTTCAAGTGATTTATATTTAGATGTGTTAGTGGATATTATAAAGGGATTCTGTAATTGTTTGCGGGTCCCACATGGAGACAGGATCCACAGAGTGGAAAATATTTGTTATGATGGTAAATGGTCTTGATGAATAGCATGTTAGATTGCTCTATACATGTAAATGTATCTTTAAAAAAATGTTAAAATGAAGTAATTTGAATTGCTTTTAATCTGGTTTACGTATGCCATATTGCATTCACCTTGAAAGTTTATCTAGAGAAAAATCTACACCCTCGCTGTGTCACAAGTTTATTAAGCTTGTGATTCATAACCCTTTATGAGCCAGTAAGCTTTAGTCCGTATGTTCAGTCATATGTTAAGTTACTTAACAATCATGTGAGCGTTGATAAAAGTTAAGGCTGACAAACGTAATGTAATTGACAGACTTGTCTCATCTTGTGTAGTAATTTTGGGAGAAGGAGACGAAGGGTTTTGTGTCTTTGAAGGTCATAATTTTAGTGCATTGTGACTAATTTCAGGTCAAACATGACCTCGATTTGAATTAGAGTGAGGTTGTTGTAGTGAAGCACTTACCACAAAATGAAGATGCTTGGTATTAGTCAGTAGAATTTGCATTTCTAATGCATCTTTGATTACAGTATGAGCTTTATCTTCAACCCACAATCTAAATCTGCATGCTTTGATGGTAACATTTATTCATAGTTGGGCTTAGTCCTCTATATTATCCGTCACTGGGAAAAAACAGGCTTTATCACCAATGAACTTTTCATATGAGGTTACATACGTTAATGACCTAAGGGCCAAACTTTTGGAATGTGATTTAATCAGTGTAGACAAGTTTTAACTGGCAGTATGAACTACAGGCCGTATAAACAGATACGGCATTTACTAACACTACCCTCAGTTTTTTTTTTTTTTTTAGCACTTACGCCCATATTAACTACAAACCCATGAATTACCTAACATACTGTACAATTATTTAGCACCAACAAAGTGACACCTAGCACTAACATTCATTCCCTCTTGTAGTGCTGGTTAATTTATGGGTTATCAGAGCTTGACACTAACTTTTTTCGATACTGGCACGAGATACCGGTAAATATTACAAGGATGATTTGACACATAACATTTTACTTGCTCTTTGGGCCAGTGACCCCATCAATTCAATGGCCCTAGGTTGGTTTTCAGTGGGCCACCCTTAATGTCAAGCCCTGGTTATGTGGTTAATATGGGTGTTAGTGTTAAAAGATTTGCAGGTAGTGTTAGTAAACGTCCAATCGAATTATAAGGCTGTTCTAAATAATGCAAGTCTTGCCTTGGAGTATAATACCTCTGTTCGTATGTATTGTTGAGGTATGAATCTTTCATAGATTTTACATATTTCCCCCTTAAACTATTAAAGATAGGGGTCTTTTAGGAGCAACTGTTTAAAAATGGAGTTCTGTGTTATGCGAAAGTTCAACAAGAACCAAGAAATGAACATTTGGAAACCTTATTAGATTTGTTATAGAAGAAAGCAATTAAGCTTGCTCCACTTTGCCATATGTAGGTTTTTTTTTTTTTTTTTCTTCATGAAGAACCATTAGTAGTGAAAATGAAAGATGTGCTTGTTGTTGCCAAAGCACATAATGACTGACGTTATTGTAACAACATATATGTCATATACAAAAGTACTTTAGCTAATTATTAGAAAAAAAATAAAATAATTTCCTGCCTTGTTTTTAATCGCGGAAGTTGGTCTTTGTTATAAACCCTGGGCAGCGTTTTTCATACTGGTAAAATGTGAGAGAAAGAGAGAGACCAAGACGAATAATTGTATCAGTGGGGGTCACCTTAGGCTGCCTGCATACATATACACAGTCACTGTGCAAGACTAGTTGTATTGATTTTGTTGTGAAGGCTGTGAGTAGCTTATCAAGCATACATTACTATCTGTCTCTCCCTGTCTTGTTGGTGTTTGGACCTATATTGCTGTTGATATCAAATCTGAGCCTCTCATGGATACTGTTTAGTGTCATTGTTCATAGGTAGGTCATACGTCTGTTATCAGATTGTAAAACTGATATGATGTGATATTTTTACCTCTAGTTGGTGATGAGATGATGGTTATTGTATTCCAGTGAATGATCTCTGTATAATGATTAGGTCTGGAGTATTTAAGACTATTTGTCATGGTTATTACATGGTCTAAACTAAGGGCAATTCCTCTCTTGTTTTCCAGATAATATTTAATAGTCGAGTGTGACTCAACAAGCAAGATGTCTGACCACGAAGAACTAGAAGGGTGCCCTACTGAAGAAGAAGAAGAAGAGCACTCGGGGTCAGCATCTCCGGTCTCCGTAGAGTCGGTCAACGAAGAATATTTATGCACCCTCTGCGAAGAGAAGTTTAACCAGCCCAGACTGCTGTCATGTCTGCACACGTTCTGTTTGCCGTGTCTGGAGAAACTGACCAAGGATCCGGAGACCGACGAGCCTTTGGAGGCCATCACTTGCCCATTGTGCAAACAGGAGACCAAAATCCCAGCCAAGGGTTGCGAGGAACTGAGCCAGGACCTGGTGATGGTCAACCTACTGGACATGTCGGCCATTGAGAACATGCAAATCGTCTGCACCAGTTGCAAGGCCAAGGAGAAGGCAGTTGCTCGTTGCAGCGATTGTGCCAATTTTCTCTGTCCAAACTGCGTCACTGCCCACCAGTACATGAGATGTTTTGAGAATCACAAGGTAGATTTTACTTCTGTTCTTCTTAAATTTCCATTTTTGGGTTATTGGTGGACAACATCACAGTTCGAAAAATTGATAATAGCTTAAGCAAATGGATAAATTTATTTCAGGGTTTTCTATGATGAAGCCTAAAAGCTTGCTGCTGTTGTCCCTGTGATCAATATTTTTTGATTAATGTGATAATTTCCAATTCCCTCCCAAGTTAAATTAGTGCCATTTAATTTGTGATATTGGAAAGTGACAATCAAAATCGGCATGTGTTTAAGTGTAAGGCTTGCTTAGTGCAGGATTTCTCATAACAGTTCGTTAGCAGTTCTCTAGTTGTCCTGAAAATAGACAGAAGATAATAGATTATCCACAGCTGGCTTGATGATAAATGTACAGGAGATAATTGATGAACAAAAGGAATGAGAGTAATTTATCTCTGTTTCTCTTCAGACATACAGAAACCCATGCTGTAGCCAAATGTTCAACTGTCTTGAGTGCCTATAGATCTCCTTTGAAAATCTCTGTTGCTAGTCTGTTGTTGTTGCCATGGCATATGGCAATAACTTATTTTTCCTTACCTTAATGATTGTTCATGTAATAAGCCTCATTTTCATCAAAATGTATGTAATTGAATTCCTTAAGAAGCATTCATACAGATTTGTCTGGAAAAACAAGATAATGGGCCCTGTAATTTAAGATGGAATTAGAAAGTATGCTATTGTGTATGAAACAATGTTTTCTACATTGTGAACATTGAAAAATAACACTGTTCCGCTGAAGGAAAAAATTCTCCGCTGTGGCTCCAAAGTGAAACTGTTTACGTTCATATTATTTCCATGGAAAGGTGTAAGATCATTTGTATGAAAGGAAAGCTGATATTATTTCCATGGAAAGGTGTAAGATCATTCATATGAAAGGAAAGCTGATTGCAGTGTGATAAGTCATCAATGTTCAGTTGCATTGTATAACAGTTAAGATTTTTTACACGTTTAATTAGTGTATTATATTGTCTTTGAAATGTTAGTAATTAAACAGAGATGAGATTGATTATATGATGACTCTGACAGTTTTTTTCCCAGTAACCTCCAGATTGTAATAAATATAAAGTAATGCTAAAGGTAGTTTTGTTGGACACTTATTTTCATGATTACATATATTTACAGGTGGTTTCATTTGAAGATATTCAAAGTGGAGAAGAGGGGCCTGTGATTCATAAGCCATTGTTCTGTGAAATACATCCAGTGGAAGGGATGAAGTACTTCTGTAATACTTGCCAGGTAGGTAATGAGGTTTTTTTATTGCTTTCTAGGCACTCCTGTGTGTGATTTCAGGAACATCCTCAATATAGTTTTGGTTTTGTTGTTCATTGCTTTTTGTCAATTCATTTTTTTAAAAAATGAGAAATACTTTGATCAATGACTTCCCATGGAAAACATTTGCTTAACTTGCATTTTATATTGTTATACTTGAGCATTTGAACATTTAACGAGTTATGTAAAAGATTTTAAATGAAGGCAAGTAAAAAAAAAAAAATACAGAAAAATCAATGTAGACAACCTTCAGTCTGTGTCTGTGCTGGGGAAAGTATTGATTCAAAGTTGATGCAATGGAATCTCAGAGACATGATTTAAGACCTTAAGACCCTGTCTGACATTGCGTATGTTTTTTTTTTTTTCAGACTCCCATCTGTAATGAATGCATGGTGACCAATCAACACCAGGGACATCAGATTGACAGAATCGGGAACGGTGATGAGAAACATTCTGAAGAATTGAAAAATCTGATGTCAGAATGCAAAGGAAAGGTCAGTATTTGTGAGCTTGATTTTAAAGTAAATAAATTACAAATAATAACCTTGATTTTCAGCTTGTTGGAGATCATTTGCCACCAGTGTGGAAAAAAATGAAAAAGTTCTGAGCAAGCAGTCGAGATAAGTATGAGATGGTGTTTATTTAGCTGGTCTAAGGGGAAAATTGTTTAATGGAGAGTTATGGTTTAGTGAGAGCAGCATGTGCCAATTTAGAAAGAACATATACTTAATTTGCCATTATGTTGTTTAAGGTTTCATTCTGTGAGGAGGCTTCTGCCAGTTTGGAAAACCACTTGTCTGATCTTCAGAATGCCAGGGACAATGCGAGAGACCTGGTGAAGGAGACATTCCAGAGTTACAAGGCCATTCTAGAGAAGAGACAGGTATTTGAGATCAAAATTTATAAGAACCTATTTTAACATTTTGTTAGAGGACAATGAACCATCAATTTATGTACTTGTCAATCAGATAGAAAGATAAATGGTTTAATTTCACTAATTGCCTTTTATGCTACAGGAGAGTTTGTTGGAAGAAGTGGAAAAGTTGCACAAGTCTCAAGAGCTGAAAGTCATGGACGTGTTTCACAATGTAGAGAAGACCATTGAGAAGATTGATGATGGCTGCAAGTTCACAGAGAGAGTGCTAAAATACGGCAACACAATTGAGATCCTGTGCATGAAGAGACAGATTACATCTCAGTTGCTGTCTTTGATCAACAACACTCCCAACCCCGACATCAGCGTGAAGATTGAATTTGAGACTGATGCAGAGAAATTTGAGCAAGCTGTGAAGGAACACTTTGGGCATTTGAAGGAAGACCAGCCTGCACCAGCTGTGGTAAGTATGCCTTTGTGAAAAAAATCCTCTCAGTGGAAGAAAGCTTAGTGGAATTGAAGGTGGTCAAATTATTAAAGCACATATAATGTCTGAATAAATGGTCTCATTAAATTGATTCGATATTTTATTGCAGGAAATGACAATTTTCAATAATTACATTTCTCTTCTTTTGTGTTCAGACTCAGCATCAGCAGTCTCCTACATCTCACCAGTCTTCATTTGAGAACGAAGGCTTCATGTTGCCACCAGGTGTCCTCAGCCCAGAGAATCCTGGGATACCCCCAGTGACTCCACATTCAGAGTACAGCACGTCATCCTTTGGGCTGTCCAGTGTTTCCTTGGCTGCGTCCATCTCCAGCATGAGTTCAATGCAATCCATGCCTAGCACATCACTGTCGGAGCGCAGCATTTCTCGCAACTCCCAGAGCCCAGCCATGTCTGACAGCGGAGTGTCTGTGGACACTGGCAGCAGCGGCAGTGGAAGCAACACTCCACTCATAAATCTTGCCGCACTGGCCAAGTTGGGCACTGTTAGTGTCAATAACTTAGGTGGGTTGATAGATTTTTTGTACGGTAAACATTTGAAGACAATTTGTTTGGCAAAAACTTATCATAAAGAGTATGCTAGGTGATTTAAAGTATACAATTGTTATTAACAGTTTTTATGAAACCCTGAATGACAGGCTTCTTTTTCCCTTTCACTGGTTTTTTTATGCCTAAGTAATTTGTGTGTATATCTTCTCAGGTCAAATTACCCTGAATGGTCAAGTGGTTCCTGGGCTCAACGTGAACAACGTGACTGGACTTCCTGGTCACTCAGCTGTGGGACTGGCCGCCAGGGGGACTTCACAGATTGGACAAGGAGACACTGGTGAGAGATACCATTGAACTTTATTTTGATTGGCATGTTTTCAAGGCCCTTTTCTCAAAAATGTTTTTTACTGAGACATATTTTTAGTAATTTGTGTTAATTTTTTTTCAACTGGTCATCAGTATTGGAAAACCTGATTTAGTATTACAAAGATTTGTTGGTGGGAAATGTTGAAAACTATGTCATTGTAATAGATAAGGGTACTTCTTTGATCTTGATTTTGTTGGTTGCTTCTTTGTTGTCTTGTTATTTCAATGTTTTACTTACATGTTATTGTTTGGAAACCCAAGTCACATTTGTTACATTGGGTTCTACCTCTAACCAATATTCAAGTTTGATGATACCCTCATGCTTAAAATATTAAAGGGTGCTTTTAACCTGAAATATTGGTACATTTTCTTGCAAGTTTTCCTGTGTTACCAAACAGGATGCTCAAATACAAGGACATTTAAGCATTCTGAAAACTAGTGTTATCATATAATTGTAAAAGTTTTTTGTGGCTTTGTTTGTTGCGTTTATTGTTAAATACTAGAACGGAACATTTATGCTGGTTGGAACAAAACAAAAAAATCCATGCCAGGAACATCCGCCTACATGATAATAACATCAACATGTTTGTGTAACATTTGTGAGGGCGCTCTGTCTGTGTCCTTGACGCTTGTCCCAAATTATTTTGGTGTCTGGTCGCCACCTGCATCAGCACTCTCTTGTCATTCTCTATAATGCATGATAACACAGGTGTTTAAAGTTCTGAATTCCAGATTTTAAGCTGAAAGTTAAAAGTGTACTTGTTTTTCATGTATCCATAGGTTCTGGTGTTGGCCATTTTGAACAGCAAACGAGTGGCCAGGGGTCCCGTTCTAATTCCCCACATATAGACAACCTCGCGAACATTCTGAGTCAGCTTACACCGCAGCCCAACAGTTTTGACCCGGCCCTTCTTGGCAGTGCAACCTCTGGTGGGGGTAACTCAAATCTCTTCTTGTCTGGTTTAGGCCTGCCACCCCCTCTCCCCGGGGGGATGATGCACCCACCTCCATCCACCCCAACTGGACTGCCATCGTCCAATTCGTCGGGGTCGCGTTCCACCACCCCAAGTCTTGAGAACTTGGCTGGGTTGCTCTCACCTTCGCCCCAGTTGAACGGACTTGGGGCTTTTGGAAACCCCCTCGGCCCAAACTCTGGCCTAGGAAATGTGATGGCCCAGCCACCAGGTAGGTTTTCATGGCCTGGAGATTTGTACCCCCAATTGTCGTTACGTTAAATGCTAACATTTCAAGTTAAGGTTGTAAATTTATTTGTTAAAATACTAAAAGTATGTTTTGTTGTTTAGAACTAACATTTACACACGTGGAATTATGATTTCATTAATAAGCATACAATGGCTAAGCTTCACAATTGAAAGCTTGCTACAATGCAGCCAACTTTGTCAGAAGAAAATGCTCTTGTATTATAAATGTGGAAAGGTTTGGCAAACGATTTTGAAAAAAAAAAAAAAAAAAGACTTTTCTTGGCTTCATGAATTTGATGACTGCTGTACACAATGAGGAATGTGTATACTTAGAAATACGATTTCCAGGAATACCTATCACTGGTAATGGGGGCGGTGCAGGATCTGGCGCTGTAAACCCACACCCACCTTTTCCTGTCAGAGCTTCGGGGAAGATGTCTGCTATGCAAATAAGGTATGTACAGGTTGAGAATGAGCTAAGGGCCAGGTAACTTTTTCCAGAGATCAATTACTAACTGGCTAATTTTTGTACATTTATTTCTCTGGTTGAGAGACTCCTTAGACAAGCAGAGACAATCCAGCTGTCTTGCTATACTTTTTCTAATGATGATGCAAACTATTCTCTACATACGCTGTACACAATATATGTCATATTAACTAGACACCTTTACACAAAACTGAGACTGATTTTAACTTAGAGAGATGAAGCCAAAGTGACTTTTACATTTGAAAATGTCCTCTGAAACTTGATTAGAGATTCTGGTTATATGGTTTTATTCAGATACCTAAAATTCACCAAATTTTTATATAATTTGATTAAAAATAGGAATTTTCTGTAATGTAGTTTGGTCATGAAATCACCACCATGACAGCCATAAGATTTTTTTAAAAAATACTAAAATTAATATGACTGATGCCATCATCAATATTATTTAGTCACAGACCTCAACTTTTCACTTACTAGACTAAGTAGCAATAAGTTGAGACATGAATAACAAACAAAGTATGAATTTAAAGTAGGGATATTAATAGATATAATAATAGACAGTAAATATTTTCCTTGGCTACAGTTGCCATAGTTATAAACCAAAACCTCTTTATGTTCAGCATAACCAAGATATGTGTTAATATTACCACAGAAACCCAATTTGTGCTATCTGAACCTCAGTGTGTCTGGACCACACTGGTGGGACAATGTGATATAGGTTGGCAGTTGCACTGCAAGAAATTGTTGACCACAACCTGTCTGCGGTCTGCTAGCCCTGAAGTGTAGATGAGGTTATTTGATAATGTGATAGTTTTTTTTTTTTTTTTTTTTTTTGCATTGTATGTCCAGTCATGTTATATGTGGCTTAAATGCAATGTTGGACTTTCTTATTTGCTTATTTTCTGTATTGGTGCGATGGTTTGTACATAAATGTTGAAACTACTCCACCAGCTTGGGTCTATGGATTAATGTAAAATTAAAAGAAAAAGAAAAAAAAAACAGTTGCATTTATATCATCCTTTCTAGGTGCAAGTTTGGTCAGCTTGGGCCAGGCAAAGGGCAGTTCAATTCTCCTCACGGATTCTGTCTTGGAGCAGACGAAGACATTGTTGTGGCTGACACAAACAATCATCGCATACAAGTATTTGAGAAAACTGGCGAATTCAAATACCAGTTTGGCATACCAGGTTAGTGGGCCAGCATAATGATTCTTTTCAATTGATGGAAATTGTTGATTTTACAGATGCTGTACTTTTTCAAGGCCATAAATTCTTAAGATACGAATATTCTGATTGAGGGGTAGCAAAATAGGAAAGCAGGCTATCTTATCGATGTGTTCAGTACCATGTAAGCACTGTAAATACTGGATAGAATATATGATTTTTGATGATTTTGAAATTATTTATCTAAAAGGTTGATAACTTTTCCCCATTGTTAAGATAAATGCACTTCACTAAAAGATTTGTCAACAAATAATAGTGTGTAAAGTAAAACCTTTCATTAAAAAACTGCAGTATGTAAAAGTGTTAATCTGAATCTTTCCCTTTCCCCCACAGGAGATAGTCTGCTAGTTGGCTATGCACTGAACATATATATATTTGCTCTGGCATACTTTGGATGACAATTTTGATAACATACTGTCATATGCAGTTCACTTACTCTAGCCTGAAAGTGAATGCAGATATCCTTCAGAATTTACATAACTGTTCAAAAGATGATATATTGACCTGCAAGAGTAAAGACTGTTTATCATTGCAGTCACCATTTATATTAATCTCCGGAGCTATGACATATGCTTGCTATGTGCTTCTGTGATTAGAATAATAAATTTGGTGCCTGTGGCTGAAAGATGATAAAATTTTGCATTCAGGGCGTGAAGAAGGTCAGCTGTGGTACCCCCGCAAGGTCGCTGTCATGCGCAGCACTGGAAAGTATGTCGTTTGCGACCGAGGCAACGAGCGTTCGCGCATGCAAATATTCACCAAGAGTGGGCACTTTATCAAGAAGATTGCCATTCGATACATTGACATTGTTGCGGGTTTGGCCATAACCCAACAAGGTTAGAGAATATTAATTGCAACTGTCTTCTTAGTATTATGAACTGAACATTGATATCCACAGAGATGTAGTTGTATTGATGTAAATCTTTATTTATTTATTTATTGTATATCAATTATTTTACAATCTGAGTTAATGAAAATAATAGATTTTTCAAATAGTTGGTATTTATTTGTCTGAATTGATTGAAACAAATATTGTGTCAATGATTGTGTCAGTGAATGAGGACGTAAAGTTTACAAAATACTGACGTCTTTTTTAAATGTCCATTAATAGCCATCCTTTTAAAAATGTTGCATTAATTTATCTACAGGCTACATAGTTGCTGTGGACAGTGTGTCTCCCACTGTGTTTGTGATTTCTGAGGGCGGGGATTTGGTGAAATGGTTTGATTGCAGTGACTACATGAGAGAGCCCTCGGACATTGCCATCAGCGGCAAGGAGTATTTTGTTTGTGACTTCAAGGTGAGGTTTTCTCAGTGGTTAAGTAAGCTAAGATTTATATGATGTGTAGATATTTTGTGGATGTTAGAGAGAGAGAGAGTTGCCTTGAAAAGAAAATTTCTTTGATCATTTTATGGGTTTCAGTGGAATTTTTTTGAAAGTATAGCATAGAATTGTCATTTCACAACTTTTTCCCTGATAATATCCTTGCCTTTCCTCAAATAATTTTACCATCTCTGTTTTTTGTAATTAAAAAGAGTTAAGCGGTGCTTTGTATGTTATTGTAATTATACAGGATTGAAATGAAAGCGGTTTATGTACTTTAAGTTTAAGGTGATTTGTTTCTACTTAAGGGTCATTGTGTGGTGGTGTTTAATGAAGACGGCCAGTTCATGCGTCGTATCGGTTGTGAGAACATCACCAACTACCCCAACGGAATTGACATCAGTGATGCCGGCGATGTCTTGGTGGGAGATAGCCATGGCAACCGTTTCCATGTGGCAGTGTTCCAGCGCGATGGCTCTCTTATTGGCGAATTTGAGTGCCCCTATGTCAAGGTCAGCCGCTGCTGTGGATTGAAGATCACCTCCGAAGGATATGTGGTAACCCTGGCCAAGAACAACCACCATGTTTTGGTTCTGAATACCCTGTACATTACTTAAAGCAAGGATTTTACTGTGTTTTTTATTCAGTTTGTTGATTATTTGATTTTTCGGGATGGGGCACTTTTTGTATAGGTTTACATTTTGCTTCCAGGCTTGTGGAAAGTTTTTGGAAGTTGATAAGCATAATCCATGGTGGCTGCATGGTGTGCAGCTCCCTTAAGCATTGTGAACTGTGAGCGAATAAGGAAAAGCTGGTAAACTTGCAAATGATTAGTCCTTGGTACATGATATAGCTAATTGGTATCAAGGTTAGCAATTGGATAACAAAATCCAATTTATGAGTGATTTTTTTTTTTTTTTTTTTTTTTTAATTTTAGAATCAGACGGTGACAGAATGTTTATTTACTCCTATTATGATAATATACTACCTTTATGATCTCTAAAGTTTCTTTACAGAAGCTACGAAACAAAAAATTGACTTTACTAACACTTTGTATACATACATATAACTAATCTGGACTTCTACAAATCATTCTGTTGATTATTATTATTAGAGGTTCTATGTTCTAATTTTATGTTTGTATTATTTGCTTACTCATTTACATTACATATTATATATTACTCCAGTTTTCAAAAAGTTTAGGTAGATGCATATACAAAGAAAAAACAATGGAGACACTGGTGCAATGGAGTATTCTGATATTCAGGCCATATTATTCTAGTGTACATTACATTGGGGTTAAGGACCGAGTCTCAGCTGTTTCTATGAGCATTCAACTGATGTGTTTCTGTTCATTATCAAAATAAAGCATAAAGTTTGTAATTGGGTCAAGGCTAAAAAGTCGGCGTACAAACCTTTATTGATGTTTAATTAGTCTTGATTATAGGGCAGCATATGTAGAGTTTTCTATTGATACATCAGTTAAGACGCGTATGAAATGTACCAAAATTTTACATTCATTTATGAGTAGGAAGACAAAAATTGCTAAAAGTGTTTAAGGGATATGTATTTTGATTGTTTTACCTTGTGTCAATAGTGTACTGTGATCTACCACTGCTGAGGGTACTTCTTATGGCTCTGCACTGCCCCATGGCTGGGGAACTGATAAAAAATAGAACATGAAAAACATCTTTTTAAAGAAATACTGATATACAAAAAGGTCGAGAAGGATTCCACATAAACACTTAGAAAGAATTTATATATATCTTTTATGTAAATACATACCATGTGTCAGTATGTTGAAGTCAAAAATGTTTGGTAAGCAAAAACATTGGCACAAAAAGTATGAATGGAAATCGGAGGACCTTGATTATTTTTACCTTGCTTGGTTGAGGTCTAAATTTATTTTTTGATTTAGTATATAGATAAAAGTCTGTGATAACACAAAGAAGTAGCTTAGTTAACTACCCATGTTCTCTACTAAAAAGCATTTACTTCAAAATATGCTTCCCTTGTAAAGTGCAGTTGCCATATTTAAAGGTGCTAATTGTTTCATATTAACTATGCACAAAACAATCAAATAACTTTTGTTTTAATATAAATTCTCAGGATGTGATGTTTCTCACATTTTGTTTTTGTTTTTTTTTTATTATTATAATTATCATGATTATTTATTTATGACAATTGATCACTTTTTGTCTAACATTTTTCAAATCTTTTGTCAGTTCGGGTGAAGAAATCAGTCCTAAGTTGTTTTCTTGAGACTGAAATAAGGTACTACTTCTTCAGAAACTGATTCATCATAAGCTTGGCATTCAAAGTATGTCATGTCTTCAATAAGATTTGAGTGCCACTGAAATAATATTACAAATATATATATAGATTTATCAAACCAGAGATTTTGGAAGGGGGTAGACTCCAAAACAACTTGTCATTAAAACTGAATTCATGATGTGCTATTTTTGCTATGAAATTTTGTTAATTTATTTGTTCTATTAGATATTAACAAATTGAAGCCCATGCTTCATCCATGGGGCAGTGTTGGAGCCATTCCTTCTTTACGTATACAAATATATTATAATTATATGTTATACTCAGCACACTACGTGAAGTACCTAAACGTGTTTTGAAAGTTTAGAAAAATTCTTGCCTAATAGGGCGAAGCTACTTATGCAAGGGGGATGTTTATATATTAAAGTTTGTGGTCTCTGTTCTGCTGTGCATCCATATAATGCAGTGTTGTGCCAAGAAGGAAAATTCACTTCTGGCTGTGACTTTATTATTATATTTTTTATTATTTTATTTTTTTTATTTATTTATTTATTTATTTATTTTTATTTATTTATTTTTTTTTTTATGTTGAAATTTGCTTAGTTATGTGGATAGCACAACATTATTTGAGAACCACAGAATATGCTCAGTATCTAGTCACTACAGCATGACCAACAATTTGGATTATCGTTGTGCCTTAAGTTAACTTTTATATAGTGTTTTATGATCTGCTTTTTTCATTGTACGTATATACACTTATACATCCATAGACAGTTTATTTTTCAATTTTCATCATTGATTAACAGTATTTGAGCAATAATCCTTTACATGTTTAATAAGACAAAGGGAGAAAGTGATGTTTACAAAAAAATATTGCAGCCATATTGGATCTTGGTTCAATTGACTTACAACATGCACACCTGAGATTTGGCAGTTTTTGTTTAGTTTTATTCAGTTTTTGGCTGTGTGATTTTAAAGGGTTTTTTTCCATCAGACATTGCTCAGCTTTTTTATATGCCGGAGTAATGTTTGACTGGTATTACAATTTCATCCAACCATTTAGTTGGATGAAGCATTTTTGTTTGTTTGTTTAAATTCAATGATGCTTAGATTAATTAGATTTTTTTTTTAAATTAAGATGTTTGCTTTAAAGAAATAGATAGTGTTGTTATTATACTTGCTTGAAAATGCTCTACACTTATTGGGCTGTTCCATTTTCAAGGTTCAACTCTCAATGTGATTTCTATATATATATTTTTTGCTTTTTGTTGAATTTGATAATCAAGTCTTTAACTTTATATATATAACATAGCCATAATGCTTGCTGCCCATGGAACCTTCCGAACCAAGTTGAACCTGGGAAGTGGAACCCCAATTTAGTGTCTAACTGACTCATAATTTCTAGTTGCCCACCAAGATAGTCTGTAAATGAATGTTGCAGAAACAATATTATAGAATCGATGGTGCTCCCTTTTGAGCAAAGGTTGAGGTTGGTGGTAGGGAAGGTTGCTAAGGCATAAAATTTATACAGAGAAAAAAAAACTCTTCATTGCAAGCAGAGAATTAGAATTCAGTGTTTTTAGACGACAATCTTTCTGTTGCGTTAACTTAGCCTAACAACGAATGATTATAAGGTTTATGGTTATAATATATATTATGATTTACATTTTTCAGCTTATGTTATGAATAAAGTAATTTTTTCAAAGCACAATAAGTATTAAGAAAAAAAAAAGGAAAAAAATATTAAAAAATCAAGGAAAAAAAAAAAGAATATATGGGCAACATTATTGAAGGGTTGGGTTAAATATTTGTACATTTACTGCATTTAATGATTTTTCTCCCAGGATGCCAGAATGATTCTTTTTTCAAGATTCGCCAGCGAGTGATTTTTCTCGCAGTGTGCAGAGGGTACTGATTGTGACATGTCTATTATCATTGTATTATTATGACATTTATAGCTAGTATAGGTTTATCTTATTTAGAGCTCAGAAGAGAAGGTTCTAATCATACAGAGGGGTGTAGGTAGTATCCAGGTTGAACTGCTTTTGAATATGCTCCCTCATGTATTTTAAAATGCCACGCAGTTAGTCTTGTGTTTTTCTTCCCAAGGGCTAAGGCTGTCCATCTTGTGGGGGCACATTCAAGGCGGATACCTTGGACTAGTTCTGTGCCTTGATGTAGTAACTGTTGCCAGTCTTTCCAGCTTTAAGTCATTGCTTTGTATTGTATTGAATTGTATCGGATATTCTATATGTATACATTTAAATGTGTTAATCTGTGAATGTCAGGGAGAGGGATTTATTTTATTTTATTATTAATCTATTTTTTTAACTGGCACAGTTACTGAGACAAGGCACAGTTTTAGCTAAAAAACAAATATTTACTGTGAGAGAAATATGCACCATATTATCGACTATTGAAGCCGTAGGTCTCTGGGGTGTTATATTGTTGGGGGACGTTGGAGGGTGGTGCTTACAGGTTGTATAGACATTGAATTTTTCCTTTATAGTCATTTTAGCAGGTATTTAACCTTTTTCTTGGTGTTAGTCTGACTTGAGTAGATCTTTTGTTGACTGTAATTTAGCAGCGTTACTAATTTCTTTCATTCAGCTTTCTTCAGTATTTAGATTTACAGAGAGAAAATTCCTTCTGACGTCATCAGTAGAACACTGAACAATGTGAAAAATAGGTGTTTTTCTTTTATTTGGTATTATGTATTCCTTTATTATTTTTGAAATACTTTACTATTAATTACACTTTTCATATACAATTATATATTTGATGATATTTTGCAATGTTATTTTTTCAAATGTTCACAGAATGCATTGGTGATTCCCTGCAGAGCTAAAGATAAAAAGAATTTATTGTGAAATCAAACAGCTCAGCATTTTCAACTTTTGAACTTTTTGCAGACTAATTGCAAATAATTCCATGTTGTTTACTTTATCAGTCCAGGTATAAGATAGATTTACATGCAAAAGAAAAATAAGCAATGGAGATTTACCTTTTTTCTTGTTTTTTTGAATGTTGATATATTTTGAGTGTTTACAGTTACATTGGCCTGTGCAGGATGTGAGGCCGTTTTTCGCCCTTTTCAAATTAATATGCTTATGATCAGAACCAAAAAGTAATCATATTTTATTTGAAGTGGTTTGTTAACCTATATCCTATAACATTTATTAATGGCATATTAGCTTTTTTGCCATCTGTAAACAACATAGTCTCAAGTTATGGGTGTATGGTGTTCTACACTGTTGAAAATATATGAATTTAATAACTGGTATATTGATATTATTGAGTAATTGTTATTTAATCATAGAGTACACAGGTAATGATGTCACATGTGAAGAGTGGAGGAGTTCCGGTGACCTTTTTCAATGTAAAGAATACAAATTACTAAAAGCATGCAATGGAGCTTAAGAAAGGTGAAGGTGAGGACTGTGTAAGAAAATCGAGGCATGATGACAAATTCATCTTTCGTCCTGTTCAAAGCATCTCCCCACTTGTGACCCTGTGACATCACTGCCCTCTAGAATTTAAGCAAGGTTTAATAGTTGAGTTTTTAAGGTATGCTCAGCAAGATAAGGTGTGCAGGATCCTAGACGGTTACATTTTAAATATTTGGTGGAATAACAGTATAAATTTGAGGTTGATCTCAAAAAGTTGTTTGAGCAATTTTAACAAGCAAATAGCTTTTCAAGTTATTCTTTAAAATGTGCTTTGCAAGTTTGAACCAATGTTTTAAAGATTAAACAATATATTCAGTTTTGATTTTAACATTTTAATACATCAAAACTTGAGTCGTGTGCAATTGCTTCTTGTTTTCAAGGAAAAGCACAAGAAATTGAACTCAACTAATTTGCTTATACACTCTAGGATCTTGTTCAGCCTGACAAGCTAGGGCAAATTGGTTCCATTTGGTAAGAGTATTTTTGGATGATGACGTACAGACATTTGGATGAGTTCTATATGTTCAATAAATTGTATTGTATTTGAGTGTTTTGTTGTTATTTGCCCTCCCCATCGTGTTTCTTTTTTTAATATTCTTTTATGATAATAAAGATAGAAAGAAAAAGACCAAAACTCAAATCAATACTGAAACGAATAAAACATCTAAAATATCTTGTATTAGCTGTTTATGATACTAAACATAGTATCTAATAATAAAAGAAATCCCATAGATAAATAATAAATATTTAAAAATGTTTTTTTCCTACAAAAGCACTTACACTGAATTAAAAATACTCTTGATTTTAGTCAACAAACCTAATCTCTTGAGTGAAATACACAAGTGTCAGTCCTTGAACACTTGGTTCTCCTAAAGGTGTAATACAGCACCAATATTTTTCTTTGCCAAGATTGTCCATTATGCATATGTTGGTCACGTAGAGATAACAAGATTTGCATTAAAAAGCTAGAATGACATCTACCGAATTCAATGTGTCTTTTTCGAAGTTATGCTTGTATAAAAATAGGTTGTTCACAAAGTAAGGTACATTCAGTTGAATTTACCTAATGCTAATGCTAGAAGCAACGGTCAAGAATATTTTGCAATGTTCTCACACTGAGGGAGTCCTCGTATCACTGGGATCCCAGTTTGCTATCTGCTACCTTAGGACTTGGCGTCTCTTTAAATTTGACAAAATGCGCACTTTTTTTCAACATCATCAGTCTTAAGATTTTTAAATTGATCTTTGGCACACCCAACTCCGTCCATGTATTTGGTACTTCCTCAAATTCTTTCAGCAAAATTTTCAAACTATTTTAATTCATTAATCCTGACAAAGATTAACAAATTCATTGGCAAAATTTTCAAACTATTTTGTATCATCAATCCCGACAAGGATTTTTGAATTCATTGGCATTGGCACACCCATATCCTGGTTGTGTTACTGGGACTCTGAATAGTTTTCCACTCGGAGCACAAACACAGAGCTTGTAGGTGAGTTGTCCAGGGTCTCCTCGTCTCGGGTATAGAAAACTATTCACTTGATCCAAGTAAACTCCCTCCTTTCCATCGAAGGTTATTTTTCCTCTCTAAAAAAGAAAAATATAATTGAAAAAGAATTTAAAAAAATCAAAATCAACAGAGAGTGTAAATTGTCCAATGTTTTCTGCCAAATTTCTCACAAATTCAAATCAAAATATGTCGTATTGATTTGGCTAACATCACCAAAAACTTTGGCTAAGAGAATTGTAATTCTGGATCGAGCTCAGTGATAGATTCTACAATAATAATTTCATTGTCATATATGAAAATTAATACGATCTGCTCATAACTCATTTAAACTAGTTTAATAAAATAAACCTTTGGATTGAGCACTATGTCACCCCCAGCTGTTGCCTTGAAACTCTTGCCATCTGCAGTTAAAAATTGGGCTCCACTGAAGGTAAGGTTGGTGGTTGACTCGATGTTCAAGTCTTGATCTATTGCTGAGCTTATCTGAAAGATTTTAAGAACATGACAAAATAAATTATAATGATCTTTGTTTTGCTGATACTCATTTATTACATGTGTCTTTTCATAGGGCAAACAAATAAGTAAAAGTTAAATAAAATACCTGCAGACTGTCATGAGATAGAAAGTAAAACAAGAAATGGTTATGGACATACCTCATTTTGAATCGCTTAAGGTAGATCGGTCGTTACATGTTCCAACGTTCGAATTTTTTTTTTTAAATTTTGTTTGAAAAGACACCCAAGTACATTAAAAATTTGCAAAAAAAATTGGGAGTCACCGACCAAATAAGAGAACTAGGCCCAAATATGATACACCCTGCATATGGCACTAGTCCCCATTCAAATCAATGGGAAAATGGGTGTTTTTTCACTAAAGCATTATTTTTTATGACTTTCTGACGTTCGAATTTAAAAAAAAAATTTTTTGTGTAAAGAGGCCTCCAAGTACATTTAAATTTTGCCAAAAAAATTGGGGGTCACCGACCAAATAAGAGAACTACGCCAAGTTGAAGTGCATTACACCTTGCGTGACGCACTAGTCCCCATTCAAATCAATGGGCAAATGGGTGTTTTTCACCAAAACGTTATTTTTTATGATTTTTCTAAAGTTTGAATTTAAAAAAAAAACTTTTTGTGTAAAGAGGCATCCAAGTGGATTTAAATTTTGCCAAAAAGAGAACTACGCCAAGTTGAAGTGCGTTACACCCTGTGTGATGCACTAGTCGGAAGTCCCCATTCAAAACAATGGGAAAATGGGTGTTTTTGCACTAAATCATTATTTTTATTTTATTTTATTTATTTTTTTTATTTGTGTCTGTGTGTGTAGAGAGACATCTAAGTACATTAAAAACTTTCATTATGTTTAACAGTTGAAGTGAGTATACTCAGCTATTTTCAGATTTGTCATACTGATGCGAAGGTGTAAGCCATTAACTTAACAACCAAATTATTGAAGAGAGTAATAAGGGAAATACTCATGCATATGAAAATAGTTCATTGCCGTTGTTATTTATTTATGAATATAACATGAACGTGACATCGTAAACACTGTGTTGTCAAGTAAAATAAAGCGTCTGATACAAAGTATCAAATGCGGCATTCACGTGCTTGCTTGCGGTGCGTTCAGTACACTTTGTTTACACTGACACTGACAAGTAGAGGTCAGAAGTGCACAATTTTTTCTGTATAATATAACGCAGTTTCAATTTTGATTAGTGAATTTTTTTCAAGCTGTATGGCCATTTTCTGAACATTTGTATAAGCTACGAAATATTTCTCAGTCCAAATTTCTCTAAGTCCAAATGAGTGGCGTTACGACGCACTTCCGGTTTACATCGAAATCTAAGCTACGGTTTGCAGTACATTCAGGGCGTTCTACCTCAAAATGTACGCAGCCACTTTGATTGGAATTTACAACACTTATTCTTTACATGATATAGCACCTATGTGCATATTTTGTGAGCTTTAGCTGTCATACTTTTTCTAGTGCCAATTCAAATTGGNATTTTTGTGTAAAGAGGCATCCAAGTGGATTTAAATTTTGCCAAAAAGAGAACTACGCCAAGTTGAAGTGCGTTACACCCTGTGTGATGCACTAGTCGGAAGTCCCCATTCAAAACAATGGGAAAATGGGTGTTTTTGCACTAAATCATTATTTTTATTTTATTTTATTTTTTTTTTATTTGTGTCTGTGTGTGTGGAGAGACATCTAAGTACATTAAAAACTTTCATTATGTTTAACAGTTGAAGTGAGTATACTCAGCTATTTTCAGATTTGTCATACTGATGTGAAGGTGTAAGCCATTAACTTAACAACCAAATTATTGAAGAGAGTAATAAGGGAAATACTCATGCATATGAAAATAGTTCATTGCCGTTGTTATTTATTTATGAATATAACATGAACGTGACAGCGTAAACACTGTGTTGTCAAGTAAAATAAAGCGTCTGATACAAAGTATCAAATGCGGCATTCACGTGCTTGCTTGCGGTGCGTTCAGTACACTTTGTTTAGTGTACTGAGGTCAGAAGTGCACAATTTTTTCTGTATAATATAACGCAGTTTCAATTTTGATTAGTGAATTTTTTTCAAGCTGTATGGCCATTTTCTGAACATTGGTATAAGCTACGAAATATTTCTCAGTCCAAATTTCTCTAAGTCCAAATGAGTGGCGTTACGACGCACTTCCGGTTTACATCGAAATCTAAGCTACGGTTTGCAGTACATTCAGGGCGTTCTACCTCAAAATGTACGCAGCCACTTTGATTGGAATTTACAACACTTATTCTTTACATGATATAGCACCTATGTGCATAATTTGTGAGCTTTAGCTGTCATACTTTTTCTAGTGCCAATTCAAATTGGAAAAGGAGCGATTTCTTGAAGGGCAAGTCTATGAACGTGCTACAGTTGTCGTATGGAATCATAGTCGACAAATGTTGTCGAAAATCTGTATCGATCATACAGAGTTACAGACAAGTTGATAATGTATGTTTATCTTATAGATAATTGTTTTATTTCCTCAAATTGATAAAACAGACTGAAGTGTCGTTAGAGACGATTGACGATGCGCTAAAATTGCGCAAATCGTCAAATTACGTAACGACCGATCTACCTTAATTTTATACATATTCTTTAAAGATAAAAATAGCACCGAGACTGACCTCAAAACACTACTATTTAACAATTATGCATAGACTGATTCAGCATGAAAAATAAATGACATAAAACAGAAATTGTATTCATATATAAATTCTACCTTATTTGTGAGTACTTCTGCAGTTTCCATGTGTTTAAATGGGTGTGAGAATCCTTTTTTGAAATCTGTGGAGAACAGGACCTTGCCCGTTTGTGGGTGGATAATTTTAAAAGCATCCTTCACAACAATCCTTGTAACATGAGGCAGGACATTCACTGTAAAAAAAAATTAAATAAATCTAAATTAAATGACAAAAACTAAGAGTTAAAAGCAAATCATCATTTCAGAATCACTTCAGACTTTACACCATAATGGATATTTTTAAAAGATGTTCAAAACACAAAAAAATTTTCCTATGGATTTCACCTTTTTTTATAAAAAAAAATTGTAATTATAGACTTGAAGCCTTTGTATCACTACTTCATGCTCCTCACCTGAAGAAACATTGCCAGCTACCATCATGTGGATCTGAAAGTTGAAAAGACTGATTTTTGTTTTGCAAAATAAGAAAAGATAAAGAAAAGACAAAAAGGCTGGCACATTTTGAGCCATTCAACAGATGCAGATTCAAAGAAGTCCAAGTAAGAAAGCAGGCTACACTGAAAAGAAATCTTGGAAATTTCAACAAATTGAATGGTCTATCCAAAAAATATGTAAAATATAAGTACTACACTAAATGAAGATTAAACTATTTTATTTAGTGCATTAAAAATTGTCACTAAGATTCCAAGCTTTTCATCAACCACTGACTTATGTATATAATACACTGTTATTGGGGAAAAATAAGGCTTTGCATTTTGACCTTGTCAATGCTGAATTTCAAAAACAAAAAATTTTATCAAAGTTAATGTACATGAAAAGTCAGAGCTTTCATTGTCCTTTTCATGCAACTTCAAAAGGTGTGGTGTTTTTCTATTTACCTTTCACTAATCTACTTACAGGCTGATTTTCTCCAGTCACTGCAAGGTCCTGAAAACTGGTTACTCTGCTACTTCCATTCAGAAATACTGCTCCCATGTCGGCATCCGTGAGGAACCTCAGCACTAAACTGGGAGAAATGAACTCCATTCCAGCAATACCAGTGTGGGAGATCCTCAATAGACTTAGGATGACTATTGTCACCTAGAACAGAAGTTTTGAGAATAGGAAAAGTGCTCATCTGATATAAAAAATTCAGAGTTTAGACATATGGTAACAAAAATTCATTTTAAGAATGTGTTAATGACAAATGATTTCATTTCAAACTGTAATCTATCAACAATGCCACCTACACTTTATCATTAACTGAATATACAATGCAAAATATGAAAGACAATACCATGCATTTTCCTTGGTTCACTTTTAACAGTTACTGTAATATAAACCTTTCCTTAATTGTTCTGAATACAGTAATATTTCTGTTCAAAATCCGCCAAGTAATACTTACAACTAAATTTCCAAGAACCATCAAGAGCAATAGAATCAAGAAAGCATAAAACACATATCTCTTCCTTCCCCTCAGACCTGTCTTGTGCAGGTGTTCTTCATTTACATGAACATAACCTACAAGCAAAAAGAAAATGTTCATTTCTACAATGTTCATATCATGTGCATAAAATCTACGTAATAAATGCCTTTGACTGGTTGACTGAAACAAAACCAGTGATATTTAGTCACATTGAGACTGTAAGAAGCAACTAGTTTTATAACAGGGCCATACAGAAGAAAGGGAAACAGTAAATGGATTTACAAACTGAGTTTTAAAATCTTAAATCAGGTACAGTCTGTAGAACTTAATAACCCACATAAAGAACTGCACATTTACCAGCCCTGAAATTACTGCTGTGTTCCTTATTGACTCTACGCTTTAATAGTGACTTGTCTCTCATGGACATCCTGATGTGGCTTGGCTGCAGAGAATAATAGGAAGTACTCTGTGTTGCACCATCTGCCATTTTCACAAATGCTACTTGTTGCCACAATTCTGAAACTAGAAGTTAATATGAAAAATAAACCATGTTTTACAAAATTCTCCATATATCAAAATATTTTTGTAAAATTATCTTATAAGTTTCATTTATACAACCTACCAGATGTGGAAAATATGAAAACTTTTCGAAGTCAAATGTCTCTGACGGGACACACCACTCCTAGTGCTAAATAATTTTTTACTCAAAATAAGTGATAGGTGGCAGTTTTCTATGTTAAACTATTACTTCTGATTAGTTTAACATATTTGGGTGATAAAAACTTGAAAAAACAACCTAATATCTGACTCAGGCCAATATGACCATGTGTCCCGTCAGAGACAATTTTTTTTTTCCTTTATGTTTCCCAGTGGCTCACAGAAAAAGTACTGGGAGTATATCAATGAAACTTACATTATCTGAAAATTTGATTTGTTTTCTACAAAAATGTAAAAATTTTAAATTTCAATGAAACAAAAAAAAAATTGACACCCATGGCACCGTTACCGTGTTTTGACCCTTATCAATTTCCCAAATCTAGTTCAAAGAGAGTCATTTCATGTGCAGAAACCAAGTATTTTGTACATTTTTGTCTAATATAAAGATTAAAGCATCCATTACATGTAATTTTGCCGTATATGTAAAGCTTGCTGTCTGTCAATTTATTTATTTATCTTAAACATTTCATACATGGTATGATCAAGCTATACACATAAAAGCTTTGTACAACAATGTATGTAAGGATAACTAGTATATATATATATACAGATAAATATTTACAATGTGATGTACAATGAAAACCTATATAATAACAAAAAAATTGAAAAAATTATATAAGAGATGCAGGTTCAGGCACATGTGCTAGTTCCCTTTGTCAGAGGTAGCAATGTGCATAAGATATAAATTGTCCCTGAGTGTTCATAATGAAATTAAAGCTCATCTATGGGTGCTTTCCCAGAGATTTAGATCGATCTAAAGATTAAGTTTTAGATCGACCTAACTCCCTGGGGGTTCACATTAAGTTGCAGTCAGCCGAGCGGGCACCATAGTTAATTACCCCCTTACAGCTTTTAGTAGGCGGGACAGACGCTTAAGCCGACCAAGCTGACAGTAATCTAGTGAGACTCCCCACAGGGATAGATCGATCTAAAAATCTATGGAAATGGGGTGTATGTGAGATTTACCCGCCCAAGCGAATTTTACTTGAAAAATATTTTCTCCTACACAGAAATCATTGTTTAGCCCAGCCCTGCACTTGGACTCAATGTTTTATGATATTTTGTTCATAATTTACTTCTAGCTTGTGGAGGAGGGGGTCTAAAAAGTCTTTTCTTTGTAGATTTGTGGAAATGGTGATGAAAACGGATAACCCCAAGTCATAAGAATGAATGAATTCCTACAACTTTTAAACCCAAATAATGACACTTGACTACGTGTCCTCTACAACATGCAAAAAAGCATTAATGCAAAATAGAGCTGTAGTATTAATCTAAATAATCTACAATGCTTAAATGCATAATAATATCACGTTACCTTGGAATTTACAGTTATTTAGCAAGAGATCAAAATGTTTACATTTTTGACCGCCATATTGATATGCATTAACGGTCTCGCGAGATCAATGTAATTATTTTTAAATATGCCTCACTTTTACAAATTAAGCATTCTTTTTACAGTTTAAATCAATTTTTGTGCACAATTATTCATTTAAAAAGTTATATGCAATTCTACTCATAGATTAAGGAAGGATTCTTGCTGTTGTCATCGTTACGCATGCGTGGCATTTAAAGCGTCGAAAATGGCGGAATCACTAAGAAGACTTGTGAACATTGCTTCCTTTAGCATTTTGCAGGAGAAATTGGAGAGATGGCTAGATGATTATCATGTAAGTTAATAACAATTAGATAGCTATCTGTTATTTCAATGCGACGTTGATTGCATGAATGGATGGTACTTTTTGGTGCAAGTAAAGTGAGCCGTAAAGCAGGTGCCCGATCCCGTTGCTATCGACATATTGAACTTTCTTAAGAAGTATAGTTAAGTCGAAGGAAAACAGGAAGCATATTTTAGAGCGTGCATAAGTGAATTACTGGTTGTCATATGGCACTGTAATATCTTTTAGAAACATAGATGTATCTATTGTACAAATTGTGGGTTGTCAGCAGCAGAATAAGTGGATATTTTTGGGAAACTTTTTTTTGCAAGTGCTAGCGCTGCTTCCCTGTACTAAAGCTATATTTGTAAATGTATTATGAATAAATACATTTCCTTCAAACTGTGGCTTGCCATCTTCAGAGGTTGAAGTGAATTAACCTGGTGTTGCGAACCAACTTACCTGATAGGGATTTTAGTGGTGATGATGCAAATAAAATGTAGCTTTGTAGAAAAAGCAGATGAAGCACAATGATTAATATGGTTTCTTTGTGCAAAATATCTGAAGATTAAAGTCATAATAACTCTTCGTTTTGGCCAAAAATTGGATTTTCCTGGAANCCAGCAAAGAAAGTAGTGGCAAGAAGAACAAGAAAGGAAAAGATGAGGAAGATGAAGACAGTGTTATGATTGTTGATGACAGTGACTTAAGTGATAGAGAGAAAGAAAAAGAAAAGAAAAAAGAAAAGAAGTCTGGATCCAAAAGGAAAAAGGTTTGGAAATGGATACATGTGTATCATTCAAAACATGCAAGAGTTTTGTGTAGATTTAAAATAAACTCAAACCTCTATAAGCACAATATCTTCTTTGATCATATTTTGCATACATCTTTGGAGAAAGATGAATTATCTTTTACTATTATTACTAATCTTCAGATATCAAGTAACAGTGAGGAGGAGGAGGAAATTATAGTAAAAAAGAGCAAGAAAAGTCGGGAATCGAAGGCAAAGAAAACCCATGTGATTGAATCAGGTAAGAATTGTTCAGGCTATTTTTTATGGTAGATGGTCCATATTATTTGTAAACTTTAGAATCAGTAAAGTTTTAAAGAGGACAAAAATACGCCATGCACCATTTGGTAAGCAAAATTCTTTTGTCAGAAAATAGATTTCTTAATAGATACAAATATATATATATTATTATACAAATATATTTATATCCACAATGTGTGCCATTCTGGGCTTTTCGTTATCCGACGCACTGTACAAAAACTCGCAACTTACGTCTGCGTCTGCACTAATGCGTTTGGCGCCATGTTATTTTGGTCTCGAATGAACGCGAGAATCCGCCATTGGCCATTGGTAAGTACGGGAAAATTGCCGTTTTTTCCAGGAAAATCCAATTTTTGGCCAAAACGAAGAGTTATTATGACTTTAAACATTAACACTTCTGCTTTGTAGAATCTGATGAAGATATTGCAGTTAAACCTAAACATGAAGGCAGAGGACGTAAAAAGCACAAGAAACAACCTGTGACACTTGACTCAGATTCAGGTGGGTATGAAGACTAACCTACCATTCCCGGCCTCAGCCTCATGATGGTAAAGGTGGTTTATTGGTTGGTTTTCAGATCAAATTTTTTCACAGAGAGGCTCTCTTTTAGCACACAATTTTGTTAAATGCTAACCTTTGGTTCGATGCCAGTTGCTAGTAAAGTGGATAGTAGGTTAGTGAAATTTCCTCAATTCCGGGGGAGGGGGGGGGGGGGGGGG